TGTGTGTGTGTGTGTGTGTGTGTGTGTGTGTGTGTGTGTTGCAGAGTCACTGCCATGTGTGGAAGACAGTTTATTACCGTGCGGTCGTCTGAAGCTCCACCCAGGTGTGGTGGCAGACAGACGGGTGTTTGGCTCCGCTGCCAGGTACAACACCTGCACAGACTCTTAGACATCAACAACTGAACACAGTATACAGGGTGTGCACCGGTGGAAAGCACATTTACTGGAGCTCTGGGCTGACTCTGGAGACGTTGGACAACATTATCTCATAATCTCTCAAACATGTGTACCCTTGAAGGAAGGCTGCTGCCTCAGCAAACACTCGCAGTTACAGTTGATCTTTACAGATTTTATCCTTGCATGCACGATTAATAATTAATTCCTAATTGAACAGAAACAGTCGGTGTGATTTTTCTCCTTGTGCACCAAAAATTTTATGCTATAAGCAGTGCTGAAGCGGCCATCTTGAACTGTTAACCCTAAATGTTCATCATTTGAAGACGTGCGTCTCATTGTTTCTTGACAGTTTGATTTAAAAGGCGTCCTTTAGTTCATCAGACAAACAAACACAGGCAAGGACAACAACATCATTGCCTTTTGACAATAAAAATATTTTTTAAAATTGTAAATTTCCTCAAACAAAGCAGCCATCTTCTCCACAGCGTTATTGATGGACCAGCATGTGGGACATAAGATCTATCAGGATGTTTTTATTGTGTAAAGAACAAAGTTATTTTTTCAAGATTAGGAAGTTGTTTTTTTTCTTTTTCAGATAATAATGTGTTAAATATTTGCACTTTAAACCAGCTCAGCAATTAAAAACTATGTAATACAAAGATCTGTTACCTTTGAATTAGTTTATTTTGCTGCATTTAATCATGAATACAACATACAGAATCCTATAAAAGTAGTGATAATTAAACAAWATCAAAAACAAAAATAAAACATTATGCATCCTATTTAACACAAATATTATTTTGGCATCTCTGACTTGACAAATTTTTAAACCAAATTTATTTTCACTTTCATAGTTTTATCTTCAACTGCTTGTAATTTTAACTGTATAGAGTGTGCATGGAAATGTAAAAATGGTTTTTACCAGCTTCTAGCCAAGATTCAGAGGTTTCTGTAGATACCAAACATTTCTATGTTTAACTAAAAGAACTTATAGTAATTAAAATATAACCGGGGTTTGGGCTTAAGAGATGAATGAACCATTTGGCGGGCCGAACTTTGGTCACTCACCGGCCAGATGCGGCCCGCGGGCTGCCAATTGAATAGCCCTGCTTTAAACAATAGCTGAAACTAGAAAGCCCTTCAGATTGGTTGGTGATTGATGACCTGCTTGTAGAAAATGGAAGTTAATTTTCTGCAGCTATAGCTTGACTTCAGGGTTTCAAGGTTGCAATAAATCAGATTTGATGTTTAAATGTTAACATATGAAACTGTTTGCAATATACATCAACAGTGCTGCRAGACCTGGCCCAATAAGGATAAAAATAAATGGTGTGGTTGATCAATTCTAATGGTTTTTGTGGTTTCTCAGAAGTTCAAAGCTTTTATTTTTAATTCAGTGGTGCAGAATGAGTCCTGCAGGATCAGTCCATGTGAGGTGACCATACTGAGAAATAAGCAGGTTATCTGTTTCATGGGTACAAAATCTAACCCGTCATCTTGATTGTGACCTGGTAAAAGTTTCTGATGAAATTTTTACAACATATTTAAGTATTTTTACAGCTGCTCCTAAGCTTGATGATGRTGAAATTTTTGCAGTGAGTCACACTTTATTTCTGGTCCATGGAAGTGGATTATATTACCACCTGACCAAATGTTTACAGACACACACTGAAATGAGCAACACTTGCACTGCCTTATCTGTTGGGTTCTTGGTAGTTTCTATCAAAGTTTCTGCTTATGTCTATGAATTCTTTTYTACAAAACGATCAGATTTTTATGAAGATATAATCAAGCTGATGGTGTTTGAGGCTGATTTTAGGTGCCATTATGATCTGTGGGGAGAACAGGGAAAAGGTGGAAGAGAACTCAGAGAGGTGGAGTTATCTCATTTCAGGTGTGATTTGTGACGGTGGAAGTAAAGGTCAAATAAGAGGTTCATAAGAGAGTAGTGAGACCTGTTCTGTTGTCTGGTTTGAAGATAGAGACACTGATATAAAGACAGGAGACAGAACTGGAAGAGTCAGAGCTGAAAATGTTGAGGTTCTCCTTCGGAGGGTGGATAAGATTAGAAATGACATCATCAGAGGTACAGCACAGGTTGAAAAACTAGGTAAAGTTAGAAAGGCTCTTAGTTTCTTCTTGTGAGTTGAAGGGCATCGGTCTCTTGCTGCAGAATTTCTGAACACGTTCAAAATGTTTTTATTTTCATCTCGTTGTCAACAGTTGCAGCCAAGTGCGATAAAGTCTTAAGGATTGAGCACAGACACAGTAGCTCAAAGGTTGACCAATAGTTGCAGGGGCGTCTACAAAATGTCACTTTGTTGCAAACGTTTGCCTATTTTCTTTCAAATTTCTCACAGTTRTGGGTCACCAGCCCACTACGAACCCTCCACATGTGCAGGTTAAACATTCTGGCGCCCCTATCCAGATGCAAAGATGCTTTAGTTTCCTTGTTTTTTTAAAGTGGCTGCTTTCTTATCCCATTTCATTTAGGAGAGATTTTACTATTTTTCTTTATCTTATAATGTGTGGACAAAAAAAAGGTCTTCAAAGTTTAAAATCTGATTTTGTCACAAACAAATCTGCTCAGGATGTGAAACACCTTGTTTGTCATTAAGGTTTTTCTTCCTAAARGTATCTTTTTAATGGTGAGCTTTTTAAAAATTGTTCATGGATGTGTGCGTGCATTAAGTTCCAACCTAGTGAGGACAGTACACACAGCCTTGTGAGGACCCACTGTATGGGGACAGCTGCAGGGTACGGTGTCAGGATTAGGCTTTAAATGTGACCGGTTTAATAAACAAAAGTCAATGCAAAGTCCCCATGAGGATAGAAGAACAAATGTGTGTGTGTGTAAAGCAGTGAGGGAGTGTAGGAATATTTAAAGGCCACTTGCTGCTGTTAACATTTAAATTCTGTTTATTCTAATTAGATGCAAAGTAACCCCTTAGAAAATATAGACATTTCAAGGTGTGTGTGTGCATATGTGTGTATGTGTGTGTACGTGTGCACACGTGTGTTTGCATCTGGAGCCTTTTGAAGAGTGTGTGGGTGAAGGGACTTATGCTGAAAAATGAGGTCATCATCGCTGCTGATTTATGTGACACACGCTATTACTTACACTCTTGTGGCTTCACAACGTTCCTTCTGACAGCATGAATAATACATGACCCAACCCAAAAACGACGACATCCCCCCACTTTCATCTCTCTCTCTCGCTCTC